GAGAATTTGACCCGTGACTCACACGTGAACTTTGGGAGGAAGCAAGAGTGTCTCCTTCAAGACGGTCTCGTTCAAGAGTGTCCCACAAGAGTGTCTTGTGTCAAACAATGTCTGGCTGTTTGTTTTCAAGTGCGCTTGTGCATTTCGGTGGGTTCCATCTTATCTTGCTTTTTTTGGCCTGCTTCTACTTACTTACAGTAAGTAGACCCCTACTTAATCTAAGTAAGGGCTAAGTTAGTTTCTAGGCAGGACGCAGAATAGTTCACGCTACTTCAACGAGGATCCCCCTGCCGCCCTAAAGGCGGGGAACTTCCTCGAAGAAGCGCTCGTGTGGTTCCTAGATGTTTAGGGAAACATAAATGTTGCAATGTAAAAAAATGTGAAACCCTCTCCACAATCTGTCTACATCGCAACCTCCACGGCAGACTTGCAGAGGCAAAACAAAATGCACAACGCAGTGCTTGAAGCAGGGTCAAACAATAAAGAAAAGAGTACGTATCTTATCTCATCTCTTGTAACTTCTTGCAATATGTGCTGTTACGTGGGAGAGTTGAAGCTGAATTCACTGAGGAGTCCAACCGAACTTGAAGATCTGCCCGAGTGTTGACCAGCAGGTCATACATCTTTTCCTCTGAAAGAACTGGCATTTTCCAAGCTCTGTTGCAAATCTGGTCGAGATTCATGGGGATGGCTTGCCGCAACTGTTCACCCCAAAAGGAAAACACAGCTCCTATAGATTGAAAAAAAGTGGAGTCCTGATAGATCTCCAAGTAGCTGGCCAGGACCTTGGTATTTGATTGTATTTGGATGTACATGCCAAAACACTGATAATTCCACTCTGCACACAAGTCGGAGACAAAGTGTTCCTGAAAGAAAAACTGATTTGCAACCTTCCGGTGACTACTTGTCAACAGTCATATGCAGCCAATGCCTGTGGAATCCTAGCAGGCCGCAGCACCTAAAAATACTCTTCAGAGCCTGATCCCCTGAAACATACTGGGTTCCTCACAGCCGTTTGCAGTGGTGTGCCTTGTTCTTGGACTTCATCTTTGAGTCTGAAACGGTAAATGCAGATATGGGTATATAAATGGATAGAATACATGCCATTGATGCAAGGGTAGATAGAGGGTTGGATAGACAGATGGGTTGACCAATGAGTAGATGACAATTTGATGAATTGATTGACACATAGAATAGACAATAGACAATCTATGATAGTACGCCACGTGCAAATGACAGTAGTGAAGTGCCAAACTAGCCAATGGAGCACAAGAAACGCTAGGTATTACGTACGAAGGCCAGGCGGAAGTGTTTGTTCCATGGAGCCTGGAAGGATAAACATTTTGGGTCATCAATCCAGTTGAATACTTTATATGCATATGATATATGTATAAGCTGTATAAGTATTTATATAGTATGTACAATGATTCACGTGTTCAGTCAATTGTTCTGTTCAGGAGCCTTTGGATCATGTCGAAGAGTTTCTCGCAAGACCGTGGCCTTGGCATGTTACAAGTGGAAACGTGAACATGCACACAATCACTTGCAAATATTGACATCTAATCAATGGCCGCATCTATTTCCGTGGACATCAACTTGTTTGTGATAGCCCATGAAACACACCTAAACGCAAACGTGGCTCCCCCAAGCCCGACTGTGATACAAGGTGCACATGGAAGGAAAGTCAAATCCATGTCCAAAAGTGCCAAAAACAAACAAACACTCAAACTAGAGGACGGTGGCCCGAAAGCACAGCAGGCGATAACAAAAGGTTATGATGAGCATGAGATGGGATGCAGTGAAGATGATAGCGGCAATCATGATGAGCAGCATGATGATGACAATGGTGACAAGCATGACAGAGGTCCGCCCATCACTGGTCATGTTGAATCACAGCAGCACGATGTCCTTTGTAAACTTGTGTTCGCACTGTACCATGTGCTGGGTATAAGGGCAGGATGCAGGTGCTAGAAAAGGAACCCTTATAGCTTCACGAAGATTTCAGTCATGACCATGGCCGCCGGGAACCCATAGATCTCCAACTCCAGGATCGCGACCGTGTCGTTGTTGTCGCGCTATCACTGTGCAGGATACAACCAGAATGCCCGGCCGACAGCACAATTGGCATTTCACGTGACGTTTGAGCACCCGACGCACAGGACCCCCACAAAGGGCTCACCCCACACAGACAAATTCTGCATGTCACCTCACGCTTGAGCACTCGACACGTACGATCCCCACAAAGGGCTCACCGTGCACAAACAAAATGTTACTTCACCTCACCTTTGAGCACTCGACACACAATCTCCGCAGAGGGTTGCATTTCGTGAGCATCCTCCGGGCCACCCTGCCGCCTTAAGAGAAGATTAGAGGCTTTGTAGGTGTCTTTGTATCTCTACACCTGTATCTCCACACCTGTATCCAAACACCTGTATCTATGTACTGTAGATGTGTTATAGCAGGTAAATCACCTGCATCTCTACACCTTGATGATGATGTTGTTGTTGATTATGATGATGATAGTTAGACGGTTGAAGTTGGCAGCCGTTCTTTACGGAGAACTCTTCGCAGGTGCTTTCAGGAAAAATGGTGTCGTCGATTGTTCAGTGATTTGCCTTGTGATAGAGCCGTCTTACAGAAGCCCACAGGTTACGACCTAAAAGATAAGCCCAAAACTTCCAACCAATACTTTTTGTACAAGCTTGTTCACAAGTTGAGTTGTTGTTAAATTAAGCAATGGATTGCGCTTTGTGTGCAAAGTCTTCAAGGAATACCAACCGAAGGCCAGCGAAGCAAAGTCACTAACGAAGCAGCATCGTCTTCTACTTCACTCACAATGTATGCTTGCCATCAGTCCCGCCCCCCTTACCCCTGGAAGATGCCGATGCTTGCTCATGAGGCAGCATCATCTTGAACTTCTTCAAGAAGCGACCCACGGCCCCATCCCATCCCTCGTAAATCCTGAAGAGAAACTTCGCTCACGGAGCAACATCTTGTGCAAATTCTTGTCGATGATGTTGTGAAGTCGGTTAGTAAAAGAATAAACAAACAAACATGCGGGGATGTGAAGCACCAAAACTTGTGTGCCCAATCCCCAAGCCTATTCGTGGGAGAAAACGCACATTGTTTCATCATGGAACGAGCTGCGCCTTCACGAAGCCCAGCCACAGGGCTCTGGTGTAACAGGTAACAGAGCCAACCCAAAGGAAACACCAACCGTTGAAACCACAGCCCCCACTGGACCCCAACAAGAAGTGAAAATGTGAAAATCCAGCTCAAATGCCGGTGCCGGACCCGGGAGCACTAACAGGGGACGACGGGTGCCCAGAGCTGCAGAGTGTACGGTCCTGAGACCTCCCAAATGTAGTTCACTCTCTGTTCATCATCTCATGCCAAATGCGCCAAGGAGCAACAAACCCTTCTCCTTCTCATGGCTTGGGTCACCAGACCTTTGCAGAGTCAACAAAGAGTATCACCTGAAGTAATAAAAATAGACACCTGAGCTCCAGCAGTTGTCTCCTTGCCCAAATACTGCGTGAATACGATGAAATATATATATATATGTATATGTATATGTATATGTATGCGCAAATCAACAAGAGTGTTTCCAAGTAGCAGCTATCACAACCCTGATTACTGACGCGCCTGTTTGATTCTTTCTTTGTCTGACTTTGTTTTGCTTTTCTTGCAACTGCTTGGCAGGCTTGCTGGCTTGCAGAGTTGCTTGCTGGCTGTGTTGGTGGATCTAGAATCTAGTGGGTTGGTTGCTGTTTGGCTGCGCATGTCCATACACATAACTGTTAGTTACAGTAGATGTAATGATGCAAGAATATGTACATACCCGATGGCTTGGGGGTCATGCCAAACTGCTTGTCAATCCCATTGAAACATATGCCACAGACCCAATGGCTTGCCAGCTTGCCCATCCCTTCTCGGCTTCATTCAACCTTCCAGCATGACCCGATTGGAAGATCTACAGAACCCTCACCCTCCAGGTGCTGGTCATCAGTTCGCAGCGTCACTTCGCACATGCTCAAGCCTTTTTGCAAGCTCTTCCAAAATGATACAAAATTCGCTGCTGCGCTGCGCTTGTGTGGGGGAGCCTTGCCGGATCCACCCAGCATGTCACACAACGTGCATATCTTGAGTTTGAGAATCATCGCGGCCTGGGAACAGCCTGTACTGACTCTTGCTTCTTGTGCAAAGCCAAGGTTGGTTCTTCGGATGACCCACCCTAGGCGCTGGATGAAATGACATGTATACAGAGGTGTCCTCACCATCCTTGGCGTTTCAGTTGAGGATTCAAGCAGCCACGTGTCCACCCCCCTCAGTCACCATAACACCCTTGAATGACTACCCATCACTTCAAAAAACGGAATAGACAAAGAGCAACTTGCATCAAACGTGGTTGATGGGAGGTAGAGGTCACACGTTGGCTGAACCTCAGCTTCCTCAATTGTCGGCGCGAGCAATTGTTGCTTGGCAAGAATCTGCGCTGACAGTCACACATGATGGATGCAATCTCCTTTTGTGGGTCATCTCTTTGAACTTTGAGCTGACAAATCAACAAAACAAACGACAGACTTGGAGGCAACAGCCACAAAGCAGTCTATTGAAAAATTTGATAAAAATGAAAAACTCAAATGCGCAAATAGCAAATGGAGTCTAGAAAATTCAGTGTGAGTAAGCCAAAAGGAAATGACCCAGGTGCAGCGAAGAGACTGTGTTCAAAAAACCAAACCCATGCAGCATTCAGTATTTGGTTTTGAACCCTACAAGTACTGTAACAGCCACACCTTTCGGGTGACGAAGTCGGCCCACTGGCCTCCAATGTTATTGGCCTTCTGACAATGTGGCGAGGGTGAGTCACTGCTCCCCCTGTCCACCAGATTATCTGCATGTCAGGTTTTGACTGCGCACAGAAGTTTAATCAAACCAAATTTTAATGTCAAATGTCTAACGTCATTTTAGCATGTTCGCACAAGTACCCTAAATTGTGTGCTGTCTTGGCGGAGCATTAAGCCACCCTGATGTGAGCGTCATCAATATTTATGAAAGTGACTAGGTGCCGGCGGCCGGTGGAGTCAGTTCTAAGTTTCGGGTGTCTTGACGATTTGGCATGTGCAGCAGCCAAGGGTGGCTTGAAAAGAACGCAGGAACTGTGGCGTAGAGCAAGCATCAGCCAAGTGCAAGTGCCTCTCAAAGTTGACAAAGTCTGCTTGCAACACTGTGATCCCAGCACTGTAACATGGTTTCCTTTTGCAATTCTTGCAGTCACGACTAAGCCACTAGCCATCTAAATAGTCGAAACCGAAGTAGTCACTTTGCGTCTGAGTCCTGAGCCTCGCCCGAGCTTGCAGTGGGCATCTCAGGAACATCAAAGCGAAATGCGGCCACCTACGAGGGAAGGAAGCGGCCCTCAAACAAGTTCACGATGGAGAAAACATCTGGTTTATAGACATAGACGTCGGCATGTGCCAATAACAACTCAAACGCCGGCACGGTGATGTACATTTGTGAAAACAGTTGGTAGCTGGTAGCCTTGTATCCGCAGCGTCACTCAAAAGTGCACTCAGCCGCGGTCACTTACTGCCTGCCTATGTATACTGTGACACCTCCGCTGTGAGGTCACCACGCGCTTTGCTAGAAACGCCGCATGAAAACATGCACTACATCACAGCCGTGATTCTGTTGGCGTGGTGTACCGCATTTCTACGAGAGCTATGGTTCCAAGTCGGGGGCTGTGTCTGTGGCCAAATTTCTACAAATGCTATGAGAAGCAAATCGGAATGATCCTTGCAACTTCTCCTTGCTGAAGATGCTCTGTGAGGCAAAGGCAATAAGTTCACTCCACTTGAGGGATTTTTCTGTATTCTGCCATCGGCCTGACTTCAGGATCCAAGTAGGTCTGAAGCGCACAGATCATCCGTCTCCAACGCACGCGTCCAGCCAGCGCTTATGGCGACGATGACTAGACGAGCTTGTCCAAACCATCTCCGACATATATAAGTCTCTCCTGCTTTGTAAAGCAGACCTTCGTTTTCTGTCTTCCCCCTCTGAAGATTACTTTGCCTCCTTCACCATCACAGCACTGATTATTCCACGTTCCACTTGGTTGTCTCAGGCCTGAACCGACTTGCATGAGTCGTCAAAGGGTCTGCCAAAATCATGTTGGTGTCCACCCAGCGAATGTTGTCCAACACATTTTTAGATTCTTAAGCGTCTCCTTGCGCAGAAATGGATCTCCTCTCGCTTCTCCTGGGGTATGCCAACATTGCCTCATCGAGGCCAACTCGATTGAGACCTTTGTCCGTGGTTTCGTCTGTCCTGCGCTCCGTCGGTAATCAATAAAGAATCAACAACTGACCTGCAGCCACTGTACCACCATGAAGTTTGATGAAGTTTGCCACAGAACTTTCCTTCTATTTCTTGTCCAACAACATGCAGAAAAAGTCACACACACACACACACTGAGCCCTCGCTCGATCACCTTCCTCAACTCCTGCTTGAAGTCAGTAAACTCCAGCTTGCATGGTCAAACTACAAACTCGACGAACAATTGTCATCAAAAATGCAATCAGATGGCTCCCTCCTTCTTCACCTTCTCGGACAGAAATCTGTTCCCAAGCAAATTACTATCCGATCTTTCCTTGAGACCTATGTCCTTCGCTGCTGAGAACTCCATTGATCATCATCTCTCCTGACTCATTTGAGAACATTGGGTCTTTCTTCATGTCTCAAAATATGATCCCAGACTCCCAGATCAAAACGTCAATTCTCTCACGGCCATCGAAGTTTGTAGTTGGTGTCCAAGTCAGGGTTCTCTGGCGTCCTGAAGGGTTCGTTCTTGCCATCGTCAATCCACAGCACGCCAATCACTTGGCGTCCCTACAGCATTGAGCTGTTTCCACTTTGTCAATTCAGCGCGCCGCGCAGTGAGAACCGCGTCTCACTTGTTCTGATGCCTTGCTCAAATTCCAAAACCTTTCCTGTTGCTCTTTTCCTTCTTTTAAGCCAAGTCTCAGCATCCCTGGCGTCAACTCTCTCGGCAATGAAACTTATAAACTCTTGAAACGAATGACGTGACTTTCCCACAGTCGTGGCCAAACGTCGCAAACCGTCTTCAATTCCTTTCGAGGCTGCCAACAAGGAAGTTTTCACTTCACTTGGAAGTGCATCTTGCGCCATAGGTTGTTCAACAGAAACTTGACGCGACTGCTCCATTCATGTTAACATCTCATCTCAATTCAGTTGCTCGCGATTCTGTAGCCGCGGGAATCCCCTTCCATCATGTGGAGGCGCAGGAGTTATGGGAGCCAACGGTGCACACAATCTCCCTCCCGCTGTCTTGGCCTCCCTGCAGGTTCTCCTGGCTCCTCATCAACATCTCTCCTGTCAAAATACCTTTGTTCATCCTCATCTTGTCCAGGAACAATGGTGTCGTTCATCGCAAAGAAAGTCAAAGCTTGTTTGAAGTACATGGTCTCAACTTGCTGAGTGACCACTGGAAATCCCTCGTGAACCACCCATACGGTCTTGTCGTCAAAGCCAATGATCTTGCTAACTCGTCCCTTCTCACTCTCCGTCTTTGCTTCCTGTTTGCTGGACCAAGATCCCCACTCATCCTCAGGCTCCTCGCTCAACGGCTTTTCTGCTGGAACGCTCTCCTCACCTTTTGCTCTGGTCTCGCGGTCCTGCCATCACCCATGAAGCTGGGAGTGTAGCCTCAGCAAGGAGGTTCGCGTTGAGGAGTTCACCGGACTTTTGGAAGGGCAAATTCTTCTGTCGGTCTGCAGGGCTTTGGGAAACCCGGCCAGGATTTGTCCTTGAGAGGTTTAGGCTGTGGGAAGGTGGGGTGACTAGGCAAATATGCATGGCACAGCAGCTGCAGCCTATGCCGCTATGGCTACGGTGCTGGCGAAGAAAGGGGTCTAACTGACCGAGCCGCTCCGCTGCCAGTGTGAAAACAGCTGGCAGCCTTGTTTTCGTAGCTTGGCTCAAAAGTGCACTCTGCGGCGGTCACTTTGCAATGTGATGCCTCCGCTGTGAGGCCACCATGCACCTTGCTACAAACGCGGTACCACAACATCCCGCCGGGGTGACAACTGCGCTTGCGCTTTGTGCGCTTTTCTATGCTGTCAACCTTCAACTGGTGGGTTCAAGAAGGCCTCAAAGCCTGTATTTCGGAACATTTGACTTCCGAAAAAAGCCTTGCGCGTCTCATTTGCCATGGTTTCCGCTTGCATTTCGTGGTTCGGAGCAGCAAAAAACACATTTTCATCCAAATTCATCCATGAAAATTGTTTTACAAAAGGCTTCAAGTGCATATTGCTATTCGCTACTGTGAAGCAAGAATTGGAAAAACTCTAGTCGAGCATTTTTGTCGGACATTCTTTTCAGTCAGCGTCGAAGGATGTTTGAAACGGCGTTTCCTGCACAAAGCATCCAATCTTTAGTTGTGTTTTCCCACCTCCAACAGTACCTTTGCAAGCACTTGAAGATTTGGGGGTTGACCTCACTGGACGTTAACGTGTGCATGGAGGTGGGAATTGCCATCTTCGCGCGAGCCCAAAACCCATCCATGGAACCAGTGTTCAAAAGAAAAAACCTTGAGCCATCGACAGGAGCAAACCATCGTAGCTTTTCACGAAAAGAAAGGAAAGGAACATAGTCAAGAATAACCTGAATAACCCACGACGAAGGTGCATTGGTTCGCATGATGTAACAAAATGCATGATGTAAAGATTCCGAAGACGGTGGACATCACGGACCAGTACGTCATTAACCCCCCCACCCCCACCCCCGAAGGTTGAAGATGCACCAACACGCATGATGAGAGAAGCATGAAAGATTAGATGTAGATAAAGCGGACAAATGTTGATAAGAGGCTTGGGTGATATTACACACCAAAAAGGGACATTCCCGAAGAGCGAGCATAAAGATCTCAAACACCAGGTAATTTCAGCAAAAAAACACAATCAACATGAACACATGCAATGCAATAAGATGTTGCCATGGAAAAAACCACCAGAAAACGATAGAAAACGCTGCTATGTTCAGTACAAAATGAAAGGTCCTGACTTTCACGCAACGTGTGACAACATCAATCACATAATTAGTGCTTTGATAAAAAGTGCTCGACCACTAGCGCGGTTCTCAGCCCGCTGGCGGAACAAAAACAAATGTGGTACAAAAACATGCACTACATCAAAACATCCATTTCGCCTGATAGCTCTGGTGTTTAACCGTCACACATGCCCAGCCTTGAGGCAAACGCGTCGACCTCGGCTTCGGCACATTTACTTAACTCAAGCGGTCTGTCAGCAGGCGAAAGCCGCCCGAGGATACAGATCGAAAGACTGGCACAGCTTGCAAATATTTCGATTATGTCTTCCACAGACTCAAGTTCTTACATTCTATATACAGAGTTGCTTCGACATCTGCAGGCAAGTCCCCTTTCTCCAATTGTCTCTCACAAACAGCTCGCAGATACTGATACTGTGCGGCTGGGGGGGTTGTAACACTGTCCGGGACAGTCCCTCACAAGCATGGAGCATGGCTTCAAATCCTGAGGTGAATGCAAACTGCTGCAGTCATCTTCAGAGGTGTTTCTTGCCCTGCATGCCAGGTTGTTTGGCATTAGACAAAAGGACTCTCAACTACTCTGCATCGATTCTACTTGCTGGCCAGGAAAAGCATCACTTGATTTGTCCGGCATTCTGAAGGATTACTATGTCCTCCTCTCATGTTTTCCACGCCTGCGATTCCATAGCTTCGACATTTCTGGCCTGAAATGGACACCACTGAAGTCACCAAAAAGGGTTGATGCGATGAGTCAAGAAAGCATGAGCGCGTTGTTGTTTATACTGTAATGGCCCAAACCACACGTCAAATGTCCAACAACACAGTACGGTGTAGTGTATGGGCGCAAACAAATGATTTCATCATCCTGCCTTATTCTTTCCAGCGGGGGCGGTTCCTGCTCCAAAGCACGTGCAATCGAAGCAGGCATTCAGGAAACAAGATACCAACCAGGAAGAGTCTTGCTTACAGGCTGAATGTGTCTTCAGGATCAGATCCATGGTCAATCCAATCCATGCGTCAGTGGCCATGATGAGTCGTGATTGAAAGCCCATCAAAATAGCATTGGCGCGATCCCTTCGTGACCTTGAAGAGCAAAGCAAGGATAAGAAATAAAGAGTGAAATTTTGTTGAGGAGTAACGATTCAAAGCAGAGATAAGCAAAACAGTTGCATTGGGGATCAAGCCTTGTACTTAGGGCACGGGTCCTAAAGATGTTGGTCAGTTTGAAGGTTATCTTTTGGGAAGAAGGCCAACTTCGAAAGGTAGATCGGCGTTGGAGCCTTGCAAAGAAATTGCCTCCAAACCAAACAGTATGTTTCAGCATGTTTTGCGTCAACTCCGTCAACTCCGATGTTGGTGGTAACGTTGGCAATCATATTCCTACAGCCTCCAGCTGTTCGGGAACGGCATGCATCGCTGTATCACTGTTGCGATACGGAAACATACCCGGACAACGCGGTGGAGATTTCGGGAAAGCGTCGTGGCCATGTGTCGGGGATGGCTCGGCTCAGACAAGGCGGTGGTGGCCGATAACGCGGAAAAGCCGACAGACAGACGCAGACAAGCCCTGGACAAGGCACCTGGCCCAAAGCACCTGGCCCACGGCGCGGTGCTTGAAGGACACACACCCCACACACAACCGGACAAGGCCTCACAAAGAGAAGGCAGGGCCCACAGCGCGGCCACAGCTATCATCACCAGCGCTTTCTTTCCTAAGAGAGAACCCCAACCCCAGGCGTAAACCGTTTCGGGAAAAAGGCGGACATAGGGCTCGCCAACACGGCCAAAAGACAGCAGGGGGACACCAAGATGACAAGGAGGACAAGAGAAGGACACGGGGTCCGCAAGCGCGGCCAGGACAAGAACAGGACAACAAGAGGACAACACCCGGACACAGGGTTCAGGGGTGCGGCCAGAGGCTGTGGCCAGAGTCTTTTTTTGGCTGAGAGAGAACCCCAACAGTAAACTGTTTAGGGAACAATACACCTACAGAAAAGCTATCATGTGACTACCATGACTAGCTCCTGAAAACAAACCCTCAAAAGAACAGGGCAATAAACAGTTGTCGTGCTGGCAGAAGCCAAGGAAGGGTTCCAAGTCAAGCCAATAGGCGACATTTACAGTTACTGGAGAGTTTAAGAACTTTCAATCATCTTCGTCAGAATGGCTTCCGCACTTCACCAGCAGACACAAAGGCTAGGTCATGGCAGAAGCGAAAAGGTCCTAGTAGCCTCCTTTATTAAGTTTAGTTAAATTCTGCTTTATATATTGTTTCCTAGTAGCTTCTTGTTACTACTAGTAAGGCACTTGTTACTAGCAGCGATGCACTTGTTACTAGTAGCGTCCTTTGCTCCGGCTGGAGAAGCTGAGACTGAAAAGTCCGGTCCTGGCTGCGGACGCATGCAACGCTAAACTTTTTCTTTTCCTTCTCCCGTTTGGCCGAAGCAGCCTTGGCGCAATCACTGATGGCAAGTTATATTAAATGTACGAGTACAGAACTGAAAAGCGCCAAGGGATATCTACCGACGTCAAATAACGCAAGTCCAAGCACCAGCTTCACCGTCCGATTTCAAAAATTGTCAACACCTGTACATTCAAGCGGCGGGGACACCCGAAACAGCCGGTTCACTGGAGGTCCCAGTCAGCCTCCTCAAACACCCAGTCCCGAGCTCTTGGCCTCCATGGAGAGCTGCAGCTTTCGGTCTTCTTCCTCCTCTAACTGCTGTTCACTGGAGTCCATCGACCAGTTTGACCTGAGAGGAAAGAGGTAAAAAGAAGAGAGAGAAAGAAAGAAAGAAAGAACGGCACCGGCTCATGTGGTGCCAGATGTCCAGTGGCCCCGTCAATTGGTCAGGCGCAAGGAACACTCAGGGGACTAGAAGGGTCGCATACCCAATTCTGCGCGTCGCAGTTGGCGAACAGTTTCGAATCAGAAGTGCAGTACTCAACGGTCTCGTTTTGCTGTCACTGGTTTTCAGTCTCAGCTCTCAACACGACGTTTTTGGTGGGCAAGCCAGGGGAGGATGGTGAGGACAGCGAGGAAGATGTACAATGCGACAAGCGCGAGGAATGCGACATCGGGGACATGAAGTCTGCAGATTCCTTGGCCGAAACGCATGTCTGAAACAGGAACCCAAACAGGGACCTCTTCAAAACAAAAGAACCTGATACTGATACTGATACTGATGCTTGATGAAGGGCACATGGAACACTTGATGAAATCCATGTTTGCTGAAACAGCTCATAGGTTGCTGCCAATGTACCTGAAATCGAAGGGCCTTCGCTGCCTTCTTGGTCTCCTGGGCAAAACACTGGGAATTGCCGTTGCCACCATCAGTTGAACCTTGAGCTGCATGGTATCAGATGTACGGGATGTTGACTTGCTCCGTGCTTGCAGTCTCCAGTCTCCGTCTGAAACAAAGACTACCGTCAGTAGATAGAGGACGTCAGGAGAAAGACTTGTGACTGAGGTTTGGTGGACAAACATCCCACCCAAAGGGGTAGGCACAAGAAAGACGAAAGCATGATTGCTGCTGTACTATATATACACATCATCTGCATGATCGCATCCATATTTATCCCTGACTGGGGCATCCTTGTCAATGTGCCAATCATCCGAATCCGATTGTTGCCATTGACACTTACTCTCACTTGTCCTTTCTCCCTCCCATTCTTGTCCGATTCCAGTCTTATCCAACACCGTCTTCCTCCTCTTACTCCTCCTCTTGCTCCTTCTACTCCTCTTACTCCTGCTGAGCCCAGCCTCTTTTGTCTATACCATAAGCTCTTCTCCATAGTTTCCTGATTCTTTGCCATTTGTTATATATCTCTTTGCCTTGTTGTTGTCCACTGCCTATCTCGATCGGGGAAAAACTGCACGTCATACGGACCATACAGCGCTGGCTTGAGGGACATACCGCACTAGCTACCAGCTTGAGCTGCTTGAGGGACATATGTCGATGTCCTGCTTGGCCTCCAGTGGGGAGCCATCTGACTTGCACCGCTGATCAGCTGCCTCAACACATACAGTATTATCGGACTCTTGTCAACTCACTTCTTCAGTTCAAACTTGGTTTCTGAAAGCATCCACAGCAAGGCTCAAGCCGTACAAGTCAAACAGCAAAAAGTTTCAGAGCCACACAACTTGCTGACATGTGGCTGGATATGATCCTGGCATCAGTCTGGCACGCATCATATCAAGAAATCAACACATGTGGTCATCACTTCCAGCCTGATCCACCCGAAGCTTGTGATACATTCATAGAGACCAAGTCTCGTAGCCTCCGCAGGGATTAGATTCTCACCCTGACACCCTCATCATAAGCCTGCCTAGGATTCAGACGATATGATGTTCACAGTTTGTAGCTTGATGTGGGCATCAGATTTGAGATTCCAGCAACTTGCCAAAATTACAATTCTCTATCCCAACACCATATATGTTGGCTGCGAAGCAAGAACAACGTCCATGTGATTGCTATCCCTAAACAAAGGCCATCACACAATTCAAGAAGTCGCACTACGCGTATTTGCTAGGGTATGGAATCAAATGGTGGGTGACAAGAGCGCCCAAAGAGAAAAGGACACATGAACAATCTAAGGGCAGTGAGTGTTGGTCACTGTGCGCGCAATCGTTAAAGAAGCAACGTTAGGGAAGCAAAGCTCAGAATATGCAATGTTCGAAGAATGGTTGAGCACGAGAGTGAACCCGAATGGCTTATTAAACATGAATGCGGCGCCAAAGTCTGCTCAGCCTCCGGATCGTCCATCCACGTGGAGCAGTTCCTTCCTGCAAAACATCACCAAACATACAGTAACTGGTCACTCAGCCAAACAAAGTAGGCGGCTCTTGCTTGGTCCTCTGGTTCCGGAGGTTCTATTGTTTCGAAGAGATCCTGCAGGCTCACAAGTATAGCACAAGAGGTCAGAAAGGTGGTTATCCATCGCGACGTCGTTTGACTTGCCTATTCACTCAAGCAACTCTTTAGGTCCAAGCAATGTCTACAAGCAAATCGAAACGCGCATCGTTTCAAGAGATGTGTGCATCGTTTCAGCCCTCGCCTCCATGTCAAGGTACTCATCATCTACACCGTGTATACAGTGGCCCATCGCAGCCGCCATGATACGGCGTGGTAAAGGTGCAAATCAGCTGTTTTTCCGGTGCCGGCTCTAGTCATTTGAGTCTTGGTATCAGCTGGTGGCCTTTTTTCTGCGAGGTGCAGTTTGCCCCTTGCTTCGCGTGTGAAGGACAAAGCCCCTTGCGAACGCACAAACCGTCCCTCCACTTCTCCGAACCCGGCTTTGAGCACAGCAGTCCCACAAGTTCATTCCTGCCTCATTCCTCATGTCATATCCACTAGCAAATGACCCCGTTGTAGCAATTTGCACCAAAAAAAGGATTCTTAAACCTTGATTGAACTCTTCAGCTGCCATCTCCAGTGTATAGCTGCCAACAGGTCTGTTCAGCAGGTCTGGCACGTTTTCCCCAGGGTGCCCGGGCACGCTGTAGCTCTTTCCGGAGCCTGTCTGCCCGTAAGCCATGATGCAGCCGTTGTAGGCCTCACATCAAGAGGATCAAGGGCGACCAATTGCGTGCGGCGATAGCACAAACATTCTCAACTTGTGGTCTCAAACTTTGGGGCACATTCCTCCGCTGCAATGATCGTGCTCACAGTGGTGATTTGGTACGCCGTGTTATGTTTCACACAGAACAGCTCGCTGTTTGGAACAACTGGCTGTTCTTAGTGCAGGCCTATGGATCCTTTCACTTTTTGTGTGCATGGTACTCGAAGTTGAACAAGTTGGGCATTTGATCCCGCATAAGGCTGGTTGAATTCAGCACAAGGTATTCTTGGTGTGTTGATTGAGCCAAGCTGCGTCCAAGGCATTCTCCAGGATTGGAATTCCAAGTTCCTGAAAATGCGAAGGGAGCCGCACAGTCTGTAACATAGTGTCATATCATATCACTTGTGCATGTCTCGCAGCCTTTCTGTCTTTGTCATTGTCACTTCGTGCCTGGAAGACATCAGCCTGTGATCCTTCCTTTGTTGGATCCATTGATTTGAAGACAGAATCCTGGCTCAGTCATGGATAATAGAAACTCCAAACAAAAATATAATTTCGAAAGACGATTCCTCAGTAATTACTGTGCAAGCCTTTCGGTTCTGCTGCCTTTGGAGGGAGGCAACACTCCCTTTTCAGCTGTCCCTTCAGCTGTCAGCAGATCTCAACGCGCCAGAATCTCAAAGTTATACCTCTTCTCTCCCCTGCCAAACTCTGGTCGTGCAATGACCTGGGCCGGCAAGCGACAGACGAGATCCGAACCGGCCCTGGGGGCACCATGGACTTCCTGGGCACTTTCGCTCGCAGCTGCGGCAACAAGCGGCCGTAAGGGGCTGACCGTGGAATCCTCGACCTCCAAGACCTGCGACATCTCTCCACGAGCCGAGCAATGATCGAAGCCATGAATGCGAACAAGGCACGGTCTCAGCAGCACTGCCTTCTGAGAGCTCTTTGGCCTTGTGGTCCGCTTACATCGTGAGGGACGCTACTAGGGGCTCCTCGCATCGCTACTAGGAACAAGGATGCTACTTACTAGGGGCTCCTGGCCTTACTACTAGGAGCAAGAAGCTACTAGGGGCTCTTCTGACAGCAACTTCGTTGCCAAACTATGGGTTGCAAACATCGTTTATTAAAAGCACGTGGAAAGAGCGGCTGCAGCTGATCACGAGGTTGCGACATTGAAAGGCCGGATTCGCACCGCAACACGGATATTGTTCCTTGGAACATGCCCCATCTAATAACAAGTATATTTTATAACATTAGTTATGCATTATACAACATGCTGCAACAATGCTCTCCTGGTGCAAAAAGGAGTTTCCTGCACTCATAGCCGTTTGCAAGACATCTTCGTTCAACGACTCAGGACACCAGCGGATTTGGGACGGCCACGTTGACGTCATTGACCTAGGAGTTCTTTCGTCCACCGTTGACGTCAACGACGTCCGACTTCTCCCGAGCCATACTTCAAGTGTAAGTCCATAGGAGTCCGGTACCTTTTTCCATTTTCCGATACCTTGGGAAGTGGAGAAGTGGACTTGCACAGAACTCCACTTAACATAATGTTTTACACTTCTTGTGCGTCCAGCTCCTAGTAGCTTCCAAACTGAATACTCTCAGCTTACCATATACTAAGCGTTCATGTGTTCAGTTATGTGTCTCTAAAAGTCTAGAACTTGATTTATTAGTGCATCCATGGGCAGTAGTTAGTAGCTTACTCCCTTAATGAAGTAGGCGCCTACTTAACTAAGTAGGAGCGGACTTTTAAACATAATTAAGTTTAAAAAAGGAAACACTAACACTCATATACGTTGTGTATATATATATATATACACCTCCCCAGTCCTCTCGGCCTACCCCAAAAGACAAAGTCACAACGGAGTAAACAGAATCCATTGCTTGTCCGAAGACACAAAAGGCATCGCTATATACTAGGAGTAGGGACGCCATTAGCTCCTGGCCCTACTACTAGGAGCAAGAAGCTACTAGGGGCTCCTGGCATCGCTACTAGGGGCTCCTGGCCTTACTACTAGGAGCAAGAAGCTACTAGGGGCTCCTGGCATCGCTACTAGGAGCGATCGGACGCTACTAGGGGCTCCTGGCATCGCTACTAGGAGCAAGAAGCAAGGGTATTTCTACAGTACTAGGAGCGATCGGACGCTGCATACTACCGTCCTTTTTCCTGTGAAGGCGCTTCGGCGGGATCATCCAAGAGAGATGATCCGACATCTGCCATTCTTTGATGGCTCTTTAGGGCCAAAACTTTAGTAACTTTAATGCAGCCCATTCCGAAAACCTTGTGCCTCGGAAGGTCCTCATATCTCGGATCCGAGAGGATGGTTCGATCGATCTCCGAGCATCGCAAGGATCAACTAAATTTGATGATCATTGTCAGAATCGTCATAGTCATCGTCGTCGTCATCACCATCATCATCATCATCATCATCATCATCCTCGTCGTCGTCGTCGTCGTCGTCGTCGTCACAATCATGATCACCATGATCTGATCATCGTCATAATTCACCTATGCTCCCATTGTAGGTCACCCAAAAATTTGCTCTAAGGGCACCCTTACTGTACCTACCAAGAAGGCCTGCGTCACTTTGCCAGGGTTCCAGTCCATAAGATTCCAACATGTGGGAGATGGGTCGGGGTTGGGTTGGGTTGGGGTGAGGGATGGGGTTAGGCATGCTGATGGGGAGTTAGGGATGGGGAGTTAGGGATCGGGGTAGGGATTGGGGTGGTTGGGGGAGATGGGGATGGTGGTTTCGTTCAATTGGGGGTACCATCATCACCAATAGTTTCCAAGCTCCTGAAATCACTAATGGATATCCACAATTTATGGAAACCACAGCCTATTGGTACAACATGGTACAACCACCTGGGGTACCATTCACATCCATTCACCAACGGTTTCGTTTCACACTCGTTTGGTTTCATTCATGACTTGGACGAAATACAATTGCAATATAATTTATGGAAGCCACCATCTAGATCATCTAGTAATCACCAACTGCAACATACCGCAACCACCTCACCAAACCATCTATTTTTCCGGACCTGAAACGAACTGTTCGGGACCGAACTGCGATCATCGGAACCGATCACGCAGAACGGGCCAATCCGTTGGGCAGGAGGTCATCAAGAGGCTCAAAAGATGGCGGAGTGTCATCTTCAGTGTCCTGGAGTCTCCGTCGCGACAGATTTGAGTTGATAGGGATGGGCAAAACGAAAAGAAACATCAAATGAGTTCGGATCATGTCTTTACGGTGTCCATAAAGATGGGTACCCAATCCTTCATCATCCGTCATGAACGTGGACTGATCGGGGCGATCCGCCTTTGCACCTCATGGTATGCCCATGGCCCCTGGCACTCCTCATCGTCGGCTGTTGGCTCCGTTGGCTCCTAACAGGGGCTGCTGCTCAGCAATGGGCTGACGTTCAGGCATGTGGCATTGCTGTATACAGTAGTAAGGACACCAAAAGCCTGTAAAAACATGCTAAAACATGCACAACTGTCGTAGGATAAAACCTATATATAAATACATCAATGTTCAAGACATATAAACTTCATGTTGGATGGAAAACGGTAAAACTGTTGCGTTTTTCATGTGTTGGGGTGCCCTATGGTATGTGATAGTTTCTTCAAAATGGGGTGACCGATGGACCCATAGGCTTCAATAGATCAAATTTGGATGGATTGATGTGACCCTTTTTTACATACCCTCAATCCCTATAGGGATCCAATCACCTTTTGTGGATCGTCACTACCATGATTGGAAGGCCCCTGGATCCCTAAAACCCCGATGCTGTTGGATGGGTTTCTCCAAAGAAACGGCCTAAATTGCAACAATTTCTCGTCCAGGCACCATCATAACTCGATCCATACGAGCGTTTCTTTTGACCAGTTGACATGAATCTTTCCGACCATTGGCAGGACCATTGGTGAATGGCAGGACCTCACTGTACAGGCCATTTTCGGTTCGCTCAAACTAAAACCAGGGATGGAAAGCAACACCGGCTCACCTGGCCCCTGGCACGCGACCGCGTGACCGAACCGCTTGCCCCCCCCCGGTCCACTAGTGAACCATGAACGCACATCCGAATGAACAAAGAGGCCGCAAAGAAGATGAACATGAACCGGCGCTTGTAACACAAGTACCAGCAACATGGAGAGTGGGTGGTTCAAACCAATCCCTCCGCGGACGCTGCGCACGCGCACGACGACCATCACCTACGACCATCACCTACGACCACCACGACGTCACCTCCTCAGCATCCGGGTTGAACTTTTCACCATCATCGTAGGTGATGTCCGACTCAGTACACCAAGCCTCGGCACGGAACAAGTTTGTTGTGCGGCTGCGAAACGTCATGGAAGGCGTTCATCCTATCCTCCGAACCGGTGTTGTAAGCATGATTTTAACATGGTATGACGTGTGGATACGTGTGGTATAATGATCATTTGGGTTCATTTAGTATGGATCTGATGATGTTGTGAGCAATATAGTATCAGAAGCGATATCACAACAGTGTTATCGCGATCTTAGTGAACGTACAACACAATAACTAGTATCATGAGTATCATGTAATAAGA